TCCCCCAAGAATGAACAACCTAGGGATACTCTCTAGAAAGAATAATTCCAAAGTCTTTACACAGTCAACTGAGGTAGTTATAGGCAGTTTAATGAAACAAGGGCTGCATCTTGTCTGAACTACATTCCCCAGCAAGCTCTGGGGAACAGCCTGCTGGCCATAGTCACGTGACCAGCTAGGGGTGCGGGCCATTCCTCGCAGCTTTCTGGGGAATGGTGATTAGATAAGACGGCAACTCTTGTCTGAACCTACCCTCCTCTCACAAGGTACAGCCCTGTCAAGAGCTTTGGACTTTAGTATTGAATAATGCCGTCTCTGCATCCTGTTGAAGCAGTGTTTCAGGTCTCGACCATGCTTAAGAAATCCGACTGCTGTCGAACATCAAAAGCCACAAGTCTAAACAATAAATGTGTAGATTGCTCCAGTCAGAGAGCTAGGGGCAATCAGGTATTCCTGAACAGTAGAGACTATTCGCACAGAGGATAGGATCACACATGCAAAGGACAGCCTCGCTAGGCAAACGATACTTCATCGACTCTTGCTGCGGATGGTCATCAAGTGACCACTGATATTTCACATTTCAGAACACACTCCAACCTCTTCTCTAGCGTCCAAGTCTTTGACTCTAGCAGCAGACACCAGACCCCCCCGATCCCCCACAGGCCTCGTGATGACATCAAAATGCCTTAGAAAGACATGGCCTTTCACAAACTGTCCTGATCTCAGGATCCTCAATTCCTTCCTTCATCACTATTAGAGTTCCTACATTTTGTAATGTGCCTGTCGTGCATTCACCTACCGTATGCCTACACAGCACAGGCATTTCGTCTCTTCCACCGCCTTGATGATTCAGAGCTTGTTAACCTGTGTTATCCCCCGTCTCCCATTATCCCACCTTTCCAACAAATAAATTAACATTCCCATATTGTCACTCTCTTGAAAATCCGGCTGGACCAGTTCTTCCTTCCATGCTGTAGTATTTACCATGACATTTCCTGCAATATTTTTTGTTTCTGGAAGCGAGACCGTGTAGAGGTAGGTGACATGTCCCTGTGCATCATGTTTCTCCAAGTCACCGTTCACACAGTCTTGACATTTCACAGTACAACTGTCCAAATAGGGACAAGAACGCCACTTCCTTCCTGTTGTTTCTGCCTGACTGGTGCTGCATGTGACAGGAGGACCTGCTCCTGAACACACCTGAAGCCAGGTTACAGCTCAGTGCTCCTGGCAGACAGCAAGGTAAAACGAGGGCTTTAAAGTCACATTTCACTTCATTCTGTGAGCTGTTGCTTCACTTCCAAATTCCAACAGACGGGGGTGGGGGGGGTCACATGTACCAGCACTCCCACAGCACAAAAATTACAATTCCCTCAGCAGTTTCAGTTCTGAAAAATTGGAGAGGACAACTGCAGTGCTTTCTTTACAATCTGGCATGATTCTGGTTTTAAACAGTGTAGCTTGAGCACACACCATACTGATGATCATCAGTTCCTGTCTTAAACATAACACAAAATTCAAGACTTTTAATGTTAATTGTATATGGTTTAGTGAATCTTGTAAGAAATACAGTAGTCCTCTTTCACACTCACAATAAAACACCTATAAGAGGTGGTTATGTGTTGAAACGTACAGTCTCATACGGTTTAAAATGCATTTTTGAAAGTATTCAGTGGGGTAAGCCAGTCTCATTCACCATGTGTAGGCCATCTATCTGAACTTGACCTCCTGACACTTCTGACAACTCTGCGCAACCAACGACATGCAACAGCTCAGACACTAATGGACGCCACCTTTTCTTGTTTTGTCAGATTTTGAAAACGTTCAAACATCCCTTGTGCTATTTCCCCATTTCATAGGTGGACTGGTGTTGTTATTATTAAGCGAGGGCAGCTCAGTGGCGCAGTGGCTGGCACTGCAGAGCTGGGCCCTGGGTTCTGTTCCAGACCTGTGGGGTTATCTGTGTGGAGTTTGTATGTTCTCTCCATGTTTGCAGTTCACTCATAGTGCTCTGGTTTCCTCCCAGAGTGCATACTGGCAATACATACTGGTAGGTTAATTGACGTCTGGGAAAATCAGCCTTGGTGTGTGTGTCTATGTGTCTGCCCTGTGATGGACTGGCATCATGTCCAGGCTGTACCCAGCCTAGCGCCTGTTGCTTGTTGGGATTGCTCTCAAGCGACCTTGAATTGGAAGCAGCAGTTAGAAAGTGGATGGACAGGCGGATTATGAAGAATTAGCCAATGCGTGACTGTGGAGCTGGCTAATGGGGACTAAGGAACAAAACCAATTATCAAACCATATGAGCACAGGAAGAAGGGAAAACATGCAAATGCCTCACATACAGCAGCCTCAAGGGGCAGGGTGCTGATGCGAGGCAGCAGCACTGACCACCTCACTGCCCCAGACCCCCCTTAGGCGAATAAACATATAAGGTGCCAAAACATCAGTGGATGACATCAGCATGCAGTGTATCAAAGCCCCATATTATACTGCACCCTAGGCTTGACGCTTTTATTTTGAGCTCTGCCACAAACTTTGCTCAATTTAATTTATATTTAATTTATTTTCTGGATATTGCTCACATTAATTTTATGGATGCTCAGACCCTTCCAGCATAAATTAGGATTTTAGCCATATACAATTAAAGAAGACAAAACAGTATTTTATTCGCTCCTCGGTGAAGCAAGTTGTATGATAATCAGCAGGTTAGCTTATCACATCCACATTTCTGCATGTCAAACACTAAACTTTCCATGAAATTTTATTTGGATAGATTTCAATCTAGGAAAATTACAAGCATTCGATTTCTGCTCAAATATTTCAAGTTAGATGTTAACCTTGAAAAATGTTGAAAACCAGTGCTTTTTGCAGATAAAACACAACATACAGTATAACAGCTGACATGCAAAGACACCATCCAAAGTTCTTTGAACTGTCTGGCTACAGGATGCCCTCTGATGTCATCCGTAAAAACAACACCTTGTGTCCATCATCCTTTTAAACACCTGAGATAAGAGCCATACGTGTGGTAAGGGGATCTTGCTCAGGAGCTCAAGTACTACTATAGAGAAACGAGACAGACAACAGCCCTGAGGGAGATTTACAAGAGGGGAGAAAAAGGACTGAAAATTATAAAACCACCTCATTGTCAGGCTTTCTGCACTTCCAAAACCCATCTGAGATTTCTAGTTATTTTACTGTCTTATCTGTCTTGACTGAATTTGCATCTCATTAAACAAAATATGTTCTAAATAACGGCTAACTTTGTACATTCTCCCCTATTTTCTTGCAAAATACCTTGATACATAGGTATTGCCAATGCAATGATGATGTGATATGAGTATTTTCATGCAAAAGTCAACACGCTTTTGCCTCTCATTCCAGAGAAAAACTTGTAACCATTTACACAATTTAACATATACTGTAAAACATATACTGTTTTCTCCTCATTTTGTTTTGTTTTGGAAACCTTGAAGTTCAATTAAAATTGGTTAGCATAAAGATAGTTTACATGTTAGTACCAGTATGACCTTGGTGTGGTTTTTAAAGGGTGTTCACATTTTTTTACTGCAATTTGGGCCAAATGCTTTCAGATTTTTCCTTTGAAGGTGAGAACATAAATGTTCATCACCTCTCCAACAGTGCTTTTTCCTAACATTCCCAGGATTCACACTAGAGACCGAAGGAGCATTTCTCCACCTTGTGTTAGAAATACGCCGGTTCCGTTTACTATTCCTGCTTTGCTGGTTTTTCCCAATACAGCAATTACAATGAATCTGCATTCAAATGACTTCACTCTGTGATTACTGCAAGCTTGTCTGACAGGGTGCAAATCCAGCAAGTCCCTCACGAGATCCTGGTGTTTTCATCCACAACGCTGACTGTTTTTCAGTTATCTTTCAAGGTGCAGCAGAGCCATGAAGAATTCAGGTGCTCTGAGAATTTTGTCATGATTAACCTACGACAACACGTTTCTCTCCTGGAATGCAGCTCCAGCTCAGCAAAAGAATATGAAATCATTTCTCTGTCCCCATTACGTCCAAATAATGGAAGTCTCTTTTAAAGGGAAAGGACAGACTTTGCAGAAAAGAGATGATGAGTCAGCAGAATATGGATGTATTTTATTGTAAGTTCAGAGCACAATGACCTTCCTCTGTGGTCTCCTTTAGATTAGGTAACACATCAAGCAAAGAAGCCTTTGCTTTTTCCAGCCTGTTCTTTAACCAGTGTTAGATTAAACTCAGTTACAAAAAACGCAGGGTGATACACCTGCCCTCGGCTGATATCTTGTATCACAGCTGTATTGATGGTCAGGTGTGTTATTTGTTCTAAGACTTAATACTACCACTACTAATAATGATAAGTTTAAAACGTAGAATAAAGACCTCTCCGCTTAACAATTGTACTCAAAAAGACATGAACCTCTGTATTTACATAATATCATACAGATGATGCTCTTTCGCTGAACCGAGATGCAAAACGTTTGTCACCTGGTCCTAGGGGATTCTATCGGTTATCTAAATGTACCGAGAACCGCTGTATCCGGAAAAAGACTATCACAGATATAAACAGCCGTGTTACTGCTGTTAACTGTAATACAGTACACAGACGTTTCAGTGTACACTTTTTTTTTTTACCTGCTGCAGTATAACAGTAAAAGGCTTCGCGGTGATGCGCCTCATTTGGTTGTGGGCAAAATTTCACACTTCCACGACGGCGGTGCCTGGTTGGAAAGGGACTTTTGAGTGACAGCTCCCGCTTGTCGCACTTTTCACATTGGACAACGTACTCCTGAATTGCAGTACGTGTTACCCCTCTTCCGAGACGTGTTTTACACCCCAAGAGGGGACGACTGCATTGCGCTGTTCATTCGTTATTAACAGCACTAACAATTTGACCGGTGTGTTTTGTTTAAAAACAAACAAACAAACAAACAAACAAACAAACTCCTGGGCTCAGCTAACCCCTCGAACAGCCCCGGGTCCGGACCGCCTCACCTCAGTCTCCGCACCATTGCTTTGTCCGGGTCGGGCTCCGCCGGTCTCCGGCAGCACCTCAGATGCGCGCCGCTGTCCAGCACCGTGCTGGTGGTGACAGAGCTGTCATGATCCACGGCGGGCGAGTTGTTCCTCTTTCGCATCCCTGAAATTCGCAGGACCAGATTAATCTTCACAAAAAAAGAAGCAGCAGTTCTCCACGGCGCGGATTTGCTCGGGATCTCTGGAGGAAGGAAAACGGGTTGAATTTGCTGCGACGTCTAAGCCCTGGTCCCGGGTCCTACAGAGGTCAACCCCGAGGCTGGAAGAGAAGCCGGACACGACGCTGCTGCCTTCTCCCCCCCACCAGCCCAGCTGATGTTTTAGCAGTTTGTCGGACTGTACTGTCAGCAGCCGAGCAGGAGGACCGCAGCGACCAGCTGATCTGCACAACCTTTCACCTGGCCTCCCCGCCAGCCAATCGGCGCAGCCCTGTCCGCCATCTTTGTGCGGGGCACAACAAACCTGCCTGACAGCCGAGCCGGGGCACAGCCCTGCCGACAACATCGTAGCGCTAAACATGACTTATCTTGGGGCTGTTTCCACGGATTGCATCTCAGGCGCAATTGAACCGCTGGTGTGAGGAAACGCAACGGAACCCGTCTTTATTTAAAACCTACCCCCGCCCCCCTACATAGTCGTTTGAAGGAACCTAGTAAAATATCGTTTAACGGTTTCGACTTCGTTATTACATTGTGGAAATTCAGATTTCTTTACGTTTGAAAGTCTGCTCCTGGCCGGTTGAGCTCCTCTCCCGTGTCTCCAGGTGGTTGTTTTTTGGTGTCTTCAGAGAAGCAGCACCGGGGAAGCGGTCAGTTCACCCAGCAGTGATGGCGACTGTGATTTGGGTCGGCGGGGGATGTGATGACGGGTAAACCAGATACACTAGTTCTGCAGGTTCCTGGTCGACTTAATCCTTTATTTCCAGCAACACAAAAGACACCCTCACACGCCCCTTCCGCTCACAGAAAGCCATGTGTCCGTGAGGGACATGCTCAAGGCATATGAAATGAATACATGAAGCCACAATCCCTCTCTTTCACACGGTAGTCTTCACCAAAGACACACGGCACGGAATCCCCGTGATTAGTTTAGCTAGAAAGGAGTAGAAACTTTCGATGCTTTCTGTTTCAGAATATCCTTTAGCTGTTTCAACAAATCTCCCGCAAGGAGAAACAAAAACTGCTATTATTTCCAGTAACGGCACGTAGCCTCACCGCACGCTTTTGGGTTTGGGTTGCATACGAGCATCAGAACAATCAGGAGTGGGGTCCTAATTATAAAACTGTGTTTTTTTTTTCAAACATTTGATTGTAATGTCTTTCTCCCAACCCCAGGAACTCGCGGAAGCGAGTCATTCAATCCGGCAGCAACAACACTTTGACGATTAACCCTCCGCCGCCCGGAAGAGATGACTGCACCCGCGTCTTCAGATTGCTCCGATTAATCTGTACTATAAGGACAAGCAACAAGCAAAATCGAGAGAAACAACGTCATTTCAGAGACCTTCCTCAAAGGCCACAGCTGGTATACATATTGTCCAGCAATTTCCCCCCAGCAAGCAAGACGGTTTGTCCCCGGCTGGGACCCGTAGTTCTGCGGCCTGCGTGGCAATAACAACCGTGCCCGCGAAAATCGCACGGCGGAAAAGTGCAGTGCTGTAGGCTTGTGGATCACACTCGAAAAGTCACATCCCTTGGTGAAGAAACCGGGAGTCGGCATCGGAAGGTCGCCGTTTCTCTGAACCGATTCATAAAACCGAACGCGTTTTCTTCCGCCACATGTTTGGTGAAAAGGCGATCGAGCTCGTCAGAGAGCTGGATCGCATCGGCGATGGCCAGTTACCGGCGTTTAATGTAAGTTTAGGTCCCATGTTCTCACGCCTCGTCTGCCGTTGTTTCATGTCTGATATGTCGAGTCTGGAACAAGATATTCAGCCGTGTTGCTGAAGGTGACTCCCTCGCGTCCTTTAGTAATCGACTGGATGAGTTACTTGGTTCAAGCAGCGATTAAAAACTAAATGAGCCAGTTTACCTCACGTCGGCGGCAGACCATCTTGTGTTCTTTGTCTCTCTGCAAGAATTTCAGACAAACGTTATTATAATCTCGTGTATTTGAGTCTATTATAGTCATTTTCACTATTCCTGGGGACATCGAAAGGCTCTAACAATTGTTTTTTTTCTGATTTTTATGTGAGCTGCATGTCAAACAATCTTCTTTGTTGACACGGAAGGAGAGTCTTGAAATGAGCAATATCTTCTGCAAAATTATTGTTACACCTGACGGACCTCGATACCACAATTTCAGTCCACTCGTTGAACATTTTTGTCACGAATGTACGTTAACAGTGTTAACTGTTTTAACTTCACGTAGCAGCATATTCATGTATAGCATAACAGGCTGATTTTCTGCACATTTTCTGTCGTTGCAGGAAGATGGGATTAGACAGGTCCTGGAAGAGATGAAGGCTCTCTATGAGCAGAACCAGAGTGACGTGTGAGTTACAGCTGTGTTCCAGGCTTTGCTTCGTGGTTTTTATTTCTTTGTGTAAAAGGGGTGGCAGGGAGCCCAGTATTTCTGTTCTGTTGCAGAAATGATGTTTTGTATGCATAAGTAAAATAAAGACAAGCCTAGCCTCGGTATTCAAGGGCTGCTGTCCAGTTTGGTTTATTGGTCCTTAGAAAATCCACAGCATATATATGGAAAACAAGGAAAGGCGGGCAGCAGTTTATTCGGTTCATTTAAGGGCTCGGACAAAAAGACCACCAGAAATCCTCAGATCCTGCAGGACTGGAGTACTGTAATGCGAGATGGGTGGGGAAGGGTCTGGTTGATAGACTTCATAGTCTTCTAGACAGTCGTTTTTGTGTCTAAAATGCTCTGTTCCAGGAACGAGGCGAAGTCGGAGGGAGCGAGTGAACTGATCCCCACCATCAAGTTCCGCCACTGCTGCCTGCTCCGGAACCAGAGGTGCATCGCTGCCTATCTGTAAGCAGCCGGGCTGCGCGTCCGCCCTTCCTCACACCAGCACTGCTGGCTCTTAGTCTTGCTCACGCGTGCTGTCAGTGACGGACCTGGCTTTGTTCCACCTCTCCACTCAGCTACGATCGCCTGCTCCGCGTGCGAGCTCTGAGGTGGGAGTACGGCAGCGTCCTGCCCACATCCGTAAGGTTCCACATGAGCGCTGAGGAGGTGAGTGCGGGGGCAGCGACGTCCTCCCCGTCCCGGCTGTGATCGCAAACCTGTTTCGGGTTTTAAGACCTGTGCCTGCCCGATTGTGTAGAAGGAGAAGCGGGTGTGAGTGTGTGCGTGTCTGTGTGTGCCCTGCGATGGACTGGTGTCCCTTCCGGGGTGTATCCTAAATCGTACCCGTTATTTATTGTGACCCTGAACTGGACAAAGCCGTTAGAAAGTGGATGAATGGACTCTGTGGAGTTTTGCCTGGCCAGGGTCAGACGCTGTCTCCTAGGACCTCTATTGGATGTGAAGTGCCCTTAGTGCAGTTTGCTTGTGAGCCCTGATGGGGCAGCTTGCTGTCAGCTGGGAAAATGCTGCTGACAGCTTCTCCTAAACCTTTCTCCCCACTTAGCTGGAGTGGTTTAACCAGTACAAGAAGTCCCTGGCTACCTACATGAGGTCTCTGGGAGGAGAGGAGGGCCTGGATATCACACAGGACATGAAGCCCCCCAAGAGTCTGTATATTGAGGTAAGAATCAGACAGCTGTACTGGGAGAAAAGGCCCTATTGAAATTGAAGCCTGGTGGGCATTTTTATACATACAATTATTGTAACTTTTCTGCCTCCTTACCCTCAAATGAATGAAAACTCTATTAAAGCTTTGAGAGCTGTAGTCACTTTGCAGGAACTGGACCTACAGTATATGAGGTGAGAAATGTATCAACATGCAACCATTGTAAACTCCTATTAAACCACCAGGGGGAGGTGCTTCCCACAGTAATGCAAAGCCCTGGCCTCAGTGGCGCAATATTGACATTCAATATACTGTACATGTATGGCTGCAGGTAGACTGATCCCTGTGTTTCTGGCTTCAGAAATACCAAAGTAAAAGTGTGTTTTTTGTATCCAAAGGAAATATGGTGAACAGAATTCTTTTCTCTGCTTGATCATTTGAAGTGGTTGCTGCTTCTGTCCACACAACCTGTAATACACTGAAGGAAATGAAGCCAACACTCCCACTAGAAACAAAGGGACTGCTCCACAGCTGTCTGACTTCCTACAGTCCAGCTATTGGACAGTGAAACTCAAAGACTGGTTCAGCGTTGATGGTAATTACTGCCCCTGTTCAGCTTCGTTAGAGCTGAAAAAAGTACTCGGAGAACTACAGATCCCTTAGCCTAACTGGTCAAGAGTAGGGACCAAAACTGCATGAGACAGAGTAGTAGGTGAGAGTCACTGCTCTGGGGCACCATGGGTGGGTCAGAGGACAGTGGACAGTGGACGCAGCCCTTGTTCCTCTTAAGGTGACGAAGGGTCATAGCTTTGAGTGGAGTCCCCGAGATATCAAGTACAAACGTGGAGGGCGTGACGCAGGAACACGATTGGAACAGATAACTACTTCAGAATTCTCCTGCTCATCAACAGTAAATGTGTTCGCAGGTAAGAACCCCTGCAAAACATACGAGATGTTTTCCAATAAGGCTTGTGACTTTTCTCCAAAGGTCCGATGTGTTAAAGACCATGGGGAATTTGAAATCGATGATGGAACCATCATCCTCTTGAAGAAAAACAGCCAGGTATGAGTCCACTGGGGAGACGAGAGGGCGTGTTAGATTGAATTCCTGAACATAGGTGTATTTATTACAATTCTCAATATTCTGCAGTATTATATAAAGTTTGGAAACAGTATGTACTGAGTCCATTTTGTAAAGGAATTTGTCCAATTCAAGGTTGCCACAGCCTATCCTAGCAAGTGATGGGCACAGGGCAGGCTCCAGCCTGGACAGAGTGCCAGTCCATCACAGGGCACACACAGACATGCACTCTCACACCGAGGCCAATTAACCCACCAGCACATCTCTGGGCTGTGGGAGGAAATTGGAGCACCCCAGCTCCACAGAGACAGCACCCCTGGTCTGGAACTGAGCCCAGGGCCCCAGCGCTGCGTGGCAGCAAGGTTTAAGTGTTTGATCACTTCTAACAAGAATAAAAGGCAACTATCTTGGAACAGTTCCAAAAAGTATTTTAAATGCTTTATCCTTTCATCCAATAAATCCCTTGGTTACAGGGTTGTGTATTTAGCATATAAAACACATGATATTATTAAGAAAAATGAACTGTTAGTTTGTAATAAAAGGATATGCGATTTATCATCTTCTAACAAATGTATTAATGTCATTGCATGAAAAGAAGCTTAGGAAGTATTCTGCAACCAGTTTCTCTTCTGCAGTACAGCTTTGGGGAAACCTCATTAGAAAGCCGTAGCTGGTAACAGTCTGGTCTTTTTCAGCACTTTCTTCCACGATGGAAGTGTGAGCACCTGATCCGACAGGGGGTGCTGGAGCACGTGCTGTCGTGACCGACAGGGACCAACAGGGACCGACCGCAGTGGCTTTTAATAGGTCTAAAATCCTACATTGCCGACACCGATGTGGGGGGGTTGTCCCTGCTTCAAACATGGACACTTGTGCTTGAGGGAGCATCCCTGGGACCCAACAGTAATGGTGTTTTCCAGGGTCAAGGAAAAACAACCTGTACTTTCCTTCCATGGCATTCTGATGAGCTGAACATTTACACTGTGGTCTTGTACTGTATGTGTTGTTGGAACAGCAGGATGGGAGTGACCGTATTTGTTAAACGCAAGTTTAGAAAACTAGTGCCACTCTGTACCCTTTCAAAACCCACAGCTCCTCCACACCAGGGTCAAATTATTTAGCTCTTTGGGAACTGCATCTCTTCCTCATGAAGGATAGGGACAAATAGCTTGATAAAGGTAGGGACTGCACTTATTTTACATGTAACATTGTCTTAATAGTTTTTTTGCATGTTTTTGTTTAACATTGAAATATTCTTCTCATGGACTGATTTTAAAACCTCTGACAAATCCTAGAGATCACTGGAGAAAACCAAATAAAATTGATTAAATACAAAGCATCCATAGTCTTTTTATCCTGAAGCTACTAGTCTGTAAAACGCGCCACTGAGGTCCAGAGGGTCTGAATTAAACTTCCTCTTTTACTTCAAAATATTTTAATACTTAAAACATGAATAACTTACATACAACAAGGTCTTAACAGCAGTGCATTGAGTTTAGAAAGGTGTGTGCATATGTTCAAAAATATTTTCAGAAAAACCTAAATGATTTATACACACTTGTATAAAAAAAACTGTACATGTTCCTGCACATTATGAGCCGCTTAAGACTTTTGTAACACTTCATTGAAAAGGAGAAAAATATTCCCCTTCAATTCTGCTTGAATTATACATGATCTCTTCAGTTGATTTAGATACTTCACAAGTGCCTGTCTCATGTTGTCTAACCATAATACTTAATGTAATTTTACATCTTTACATTAGTTTTATTTTGATAGGGAAGTAACATCACACAGTCTCCCAGTTGTTTTTGAGAAAATAAGAACGCTGTGCGGTACGAGGTGGAGCCAGTCCAGGCCGAGACCCGGAGCAGCCGTACGGGGCGGTCCAGGGCCAGCTGAGCTCTGCTGCGGCAGCGGGCTCGCGTGATGACTTCGCTCTCTTGCAACACCTGTCTTCAGACAGAAAAACAATTGACTCTGCCCAGAAAATACCCTGAAACATACCCCCAAAAATCGAATAAGGAATATAATGTACCTGCAGAGTGTGCTCAAGCAGTCTATGATAACATAGACTGCATCAATCCCTGCTAGGAAACCAAAACCTGTGTCCAATAACAAAGCAAAGAGGGTCGCAGTAATCATCAATGGCTTTGGGAAAAATAATCGGAATGTTCTGTTCCTGAATTCCCTATTGGAGAGGTGGGAAACTCCATTCTCTTGGGCCCTGAGGGTCCTCTGTCTTCACTCCACCTTTGACCTTGAGGATGTAAGGACCCACATGTTTGACGGAGAAGTCCAGGTCACCTCGTGTGGGTCTTCATCAGTAGACTGAGCGAAGCCTGCAGGAGTTTTGGCCCTGGAGGACTGGGAATCCTTATCCCCGCTCCCAGGGCGAGCGGCACCGGCATCCAGCCTGGGTGACCATTCGGGACGCTAAGCCATGAGCGTCGCCGGCGCGATCTTCCGCAGCAGCCTGTTGAGGGCGGCGATCTTCTCCTCGAGCACAAAGTTCGTCTTCTCCACGGTCTTCTGCCGCTGTTCGGTCACCTGCAGCGCCTTCATCAGTTGGGAGTTTTCCACATAGAGGTCCTTCAGCAAAACATCCGACTTGGCGTTCTTGGCCAGCTGGGAGAGCCAGGAGAAACCTTGATTAATCTCTTTTCCTCATGCGTGCTGCGCTGAGCGCGGTACCCAAGGCCTGCTGCAGTGGATTATTTAAATAATATTTATTAAATATTTAATATTAATATAATATTTAATATTATACTGTACATCGCAAGGGTAAGGCTAGGACTGCATACTGTCTAATGCTCTGCAATGACTTTAAAAAAAAGCAAACCAGTGTTATTCAACAGTTCTTAAACCAGCCAGCTTCCTTAATGCTTCATCAGAAAATCAGAAGGGATAGTTCTACCATTTGGGCTTATTCACTTGATAGCCTTCCTGAATACAATTGACAGAATAACCTTTTCTTTTCAAAGTTATAGCACAATTGTTATTCAAGTCCTATCTCACCCGTAGCTACAGCACATTAGTTAGAAAACAGAACTCCTTTTGTATTGTAAAGTCCTATAAGGCATCTTTCTAAATGACAACCACAACACAAAACATTCTGGCAAAAGGGCGGTTGTGAAGTGTTACTTCCTGTCAGATACCATGACAGTTTCCTGACCCCAAAGGTTTAAGCCAAAGCCAGACTTTGCCTGCCATCAGGTATACCAGAGTACCGCGGCCCTGCTCTTCTCCCGAGCTGGGCCTCACCTGCTCCTTCAGCTGCTCCACCTTCTCCTGCAGCAGCTCCCGGAGAGTCTTCAGTTTGAGCTCCACCTCCTTCATCCTCTCCTCCGTTCGTTTCAGCACTGTCTCATAATGCTCCTGCGCAGGACGGAGAGATTTCATACACCCATCACCCCACTCTTTCCAAATCTTTCAAAAAGAACATGACTGCTTTCTAGGATCTGAGACAACTTCTATGCCACTGGAATCAGGAATTGTCTCCAACCTGACCTGCTACCCCAGCCTGGAAGGGACCAGGTGCAAACCGTGACACACATTCTTCTCCCTTTCACTGTCGCTGCAGTCTGCAAGCAGCACGGGGCTTGCACGAGCAGCCCTCTCAGATGGTGACCCCTCCGTGCACTCATCTTTACCCAGCCCCCCACGGGCGGTTTCAGGCCGCACGGCGGACGTTGTGGCACAAGCAGTCGAGCTGTACGGTCTGGATTAGGAGCAGCAGTCGCTGTGAAGCCGCTTGCTGTGGGAAAGCCACTCAGAAGCTCCCCTCCTCCCCCACGTCACTGACGTGTACCCGAAGAGCTGGAGGACCGCTGCCCTGACAGCCCACAACAGGAAGCTCCCAAGCCGGGTTCCTACTGAGGCACGGTGCCGCCCGGTGCCGTACCTGCTGCAGGCCCATCTGCGTGCTGGCCTGCTCCACCTGGGCCCGAAGCTGCTCCTGCAGCTGCTGCCCGCGCCGGTGCTCCTCCGCCAGCCGGGCCCGGAGCTCGGCCTCCTGCTCCCTGGACAGCGCCGCGCCCGCCCGCTCCCTCAGCTGCTGCGCCTCCCGCGCGTGCTGCGAGCGGGCCAGGACCAGGGCCGCACCAGCCTGCAGGAGCTGCGCCACACAGACACACACGCCTTGACTCCCCGCAGACCCGCCCCCCTCAAGAGCACGGCCCTCCTGCCAGGAGCTAGCTCTGCTTCTGAGGTCTAAGAAAGCCCAAAATAGCGTAGCTCCTAAGAAGCAACAACAGTTGGAGACTTCCTGCGAACCTTTTACTTATGCAGTTTTACACATTTAACAGTCGTGCAACTAGGTAAACTCTACTTAAATACTTTTTAGCAAAGCACAAATGTAGACCAAGTCTATCTGCAGCTGCAGAAGATATTTGAGACTAGGGCAAAAAAAATCGTAGGCTGCACCCTAAAGTTTCAAGACGACACTTCTCGGTTCCCCAGGCAGTACCTGATCCTGAGATTCCTGCAGCTCTGCCTCCAGCTCCGCCTGCTTGCTCTTCAATGCCTGGCACTCCTGCGTCACCTGGGTCAGCTCTGCCTCACGAGCCTGCAGCAGCTCCACCTGGAACAGGCACAACCTAACTTGTGCATCCTGAAAACCGGACTCCACATCCACACGCCGTCAGGGGCGGCCGCCTAGCACGCAGCATGCATTTCCTGCGGTGCCTGGCTTACCTTCTGCAGGAGCTCCTCGTGCTGTGATCTGAGGGCCTGGTGCTCTCTCCTGAGGGACAGGACCTCCTGTTGCTCGCGCTGCCGATGGGAGATCTCAAGCTGCTCCTTCTCGTGACACAGCCTCTGGACACTGGCCTCCAGCTCCTGGACCTGCTCGGAGAGCCAGGGGGATTATGCAGATGCACATGCCGCCTTGGAGAGTGTCATTACTAAGGAAAAGCTACCGGGTGCTGAAGATAAAAGCACCCAGTTTGTAACCCTAGAAAAACAAAATTCTATATGTCTGTCCATCCTCGAAGAGCTTAATCCAACACAGGGTTATGGTGGAGTCAGGGCCTATCTTGGTAAGCAATGGACGCAAGGCAGGGTTCACATTACAAAAACACACACTCATACCAGGGCTAATTTCACCAGAAGCTAGTTAACCAACCAGTATGTCTTTGGGCTGTGAAAGGAAACTGCAGCATCTGGAAGAAACCCATGCAAACATGGAGAGAACATGCAAACTCCACAGCCCAGAGCCCAGGAACTGAACCCAGGCAGCTATGCCAACCACTGTGCCACCCTGATGCCGATACATTTTCTATGTGAAACAGAAAAAAACATTTCAGTCGTGGCCTAGAACTGCTATGGTGTGCAAGTGTACGGTGCTTCTTTGGAACAGGTATGGGTGCTGCCTCCCAGCTACCTGGTGCTCTTCAAGATGGAGTAACTGTGTCACTACCTTGTCCTTGGCCTCCTGCAGCATCTCCTGACTGGCTGCGGCGTCCTGGGCGAGACGGGTTTTGTCTCGGCCTGCTGCCCGGAGCTCGGAGTGCAGCTGCTCTGTCTGGGAGTCCAGGGCTTGTAGGGAGGCCTGCAACTTCTCCATCTGTGGAGCAAGGCCACACAGTGCGAGGTCAGAGTCGCTCCGAGGTCTGAAACCTCAGCCAGCCGCTGTATTTAGAAAGATCTCCGCATCTCAAGAGTTGCATCATGATTATAATACACGACTGACCGTTTCACTCTAATGAGCGCCTGATGTCAGACCTGAACTGCAAGTTTGCTTAGGACTGTTAGTTGAGTTTTGTATACGTTCAAATCATTATTTTAATTTCACTGTGTAGTGGGTATGTAACTCTTATTTAAACAGACCCCACACCATGCCGTGTAACTGTGCTGCGGCCAGTGCCTTACCTTGCGGTTTCTCTCCTCCGCCTCCTCCAGCAGCCTCTGCCGGTCCTGCTCCAGCCACTGGTGTTTCAGAGCCAGGCTGGACAGCTCTGACTCCAGGTCCCTCAGGCGCGACAGCTAAGGCATATTTCAACGCCCAATCAGTACTTCAAATGTGCTTTCACAGCTAATTCAAAACAGGTATAGAGTCACGACTCTAAATAAAAAAATGTGCCAATCTCGAGAACATGGAGTTGTTTCACTCAGGTGCTTCTCTTGGGGTTTGAGCTGACAGAGATTTAGAAGATGTAAAAACTTTATTAGTAATTCAGCTCGAAGCAGATAATTAAAGGTTCTGTCCTGATGTACTATCTTCAGGCTTGTCTCAAACATCTCTTCTAAGAAAGGGATAACTGCTGGTAGTAGGATCTGCTCACGGTTTCCAATGGAAACCTGTCCAGCAATCAAAATGAGTCCTGCATTCATGGACGATGGTAAGGACCAATATATAAAATAGTTATATTAACTTTTTTATTATAAAAGCTTTACATTTTTCAGTTTTGTATGAAGGTGAATATTGGGTGTTTGAGGGAACATTTTTGAGTTGGATGGAACTGAAGGAACCTGTGCCTGTCATGAGTTAACAATTAACCCCTCAAGCCTCTTTTACCATTTCTCCAGGGCCTCTCGACTGGAGGTGTAACTCCTGTATCCTACTCTTGATTTGGCAACAAGAAAGGGAACAGGGGTCTGATTAGGGTCTTGGTAAATTGCCCAAGGATGACCAAACTGCCTAACTTTCTGACGTTGTCTACACCTTATAAGGTAACAAACTGTTAATGACCAAACCTTAAATGTTTTTTTGTGAATGGACATTTCGCTCATTTTCAAGAATAAATGTCTGTGGCTGCCCTTAGGAAGGTTAACCTGTAAACCCTGTCTGTCCTCCTTTCTTCATTGCAATAAAGAAACCACCAGCTTGATTTACCAGAGTCGTCTGCTTTACTGAGAAAGGGGTCAGAAAGAGCCGATCGCGGACTATAACACAGGAAGTAAGTGGAATTTAGTTTCTGTTCTACGAGTTTTCACCCTACGACTGTTTTAGAGGAATGAATTAGGCCTGTATGACAAGGGACTACTGTACAGACAATAATGACTGTTAATGACCGCCGCCCTGCTCTGCGGCGCCCCCCTCGCCCTGCTCCGCGGCGCCCCCCTCGCCCTGCTCTCGCCCTGCCCCCCGGCGCCCCCCTCGCCCTGCTCTCGCCCTGCTCTCGCCCTGCTCCGCGGCGCCCCCCTCGCCCTGCTCTCGCCCTGCTCCGCGGCGCCCCCCTCGCCCTGCTCTCGCCCTGCTCCGCGGCGCCCCCCTCGCCCTGCTCTCGCCCTGCTCCGCGGCGCCCCCCTCGCCCTGCTCTCGCCCTGCTCTCGCCCTGCTCCGCGGCGCCCCTCTCGCCCTGGCCAGCAGCGCAATTCTGGGCCTACCTTCTCCCTGGCGGCGCGGAGCTCCTGCTCCATCAGCTCGCGCTGTCTCTGCCAGCCGGCCTGCTCGCCCTCCAGCCTGGCCACGGCCTCCCGCAGTTGCCCGGCGACTGCGGCCTCCTCCCCTGTCTGCCTGGAGGCCTCAGCCAGCCTCTCGCTAAGAAGCTGGATGGCGCTCTGCTCTGCCCTGATCTGGGAGGTCAGCTCGGCGTTCTCGCTGCTCAGCTGCAGGTTCCTGTTGCTCAGGTCCATCATCTCCTCCCTGCACCTGGTGTTCTGCCCCGGCACACACACACACATAAGCACGTCCTTATTTACTGGTTACTTCAAACAAAAACTAAATGTCACAGAACTATGCTGGCTTGCAGGATATTATACTTCAAGATCAAATTAACAGACTTTCTCCAAATTCTACTTTAACGATGGGGAAACAAAAGAAAACTTAGACTGCAAATGGGCAAACCGCAGTATTATTTTCTGAGAGTTTTACCAACTCTAATGGACAATGCAGATTCTCCAATCCCAAATGCTTCCTGTCAGATGTCTTCTCTCTTCCTCACATTCCTCTTTGTGCATCCCTTCTTCACCTCAGGTCCCCCTCTGCAGCTACCCCTTGGTCAGCACGGGGGTCTTGACCTCCTCATCCTACCCCCAGACTGTTAAGCATTTTATACCAAAGCTTCTTATGGCTGATTCCTCAGTAATTCCTAAACACATGTTCCTAGAAGGTCTTGTCATCCCTCCTGAAATGCCATTAAAGTGTAGTCTCTAATGCTCTCTATATAACAGTCTACTTTGGAATTCACTTGCCTCTTGGGATATTAGCTCTGATTTAGCCTGAATCGTCTCCTTCTCACTCGTCATCTGCTCCAGCTGCTTTCTACAAAGTAAAGAAGTTGTAAAAACCTTTTAAACCTGCAAACAAAGACGGAAACTGCTTGAAGGGATTAAATGTTTCTGGCAGTATTAAAGATCTCACAAGACTCAAATCTCTCACAAGATGTTGGTTTATTACGCAAACACCCTTCTGCAATAAATATAATAAGAGATCTTGCTTCAGTGCAGCAAGTTTTTTTTTTTCCAGTTTGTACTTTTTATTTCATCAAAGAGGGTAAAACTGAAAAAGCACAGGGAAGGTTCTTGAAGTTAGATGTGAACCGGATGAGGTCATCATGAGCAGCATTTTATTTTTTTGTTATTTCTGTGGTAACACTGGAGTCCTACCAACACTTTTTACATGATCACCAAAATCTCATTTGACAGTTCATCTATTAGTACAATCTTCTTTAAAACGAGTCTCCGGGGCTGTAAAGTGACTCGAGGTGTTAAGGTGCTAACTGGTGCCATCATCTAGACCTCCTGGGTTTGAGCCCAAGTCACGCATATGGGTGACCGGGACCCGGGTTCCTGAAATCGCCTGGCTACCGCGGGCCTGTGCCGCCATCGTCGAGCGATGCTGCTCCCCCTAGGTGTCCAGTCCTGCCTCCACCACAGGACTGCAGGGACTCTGAGGGTCAGTGGGAGAAGTCACGCCTCCCGTTCTCCTCTCCTGTGGCTATAGGGCTTCTGGCTGGGAGCCGAGGCGACTCCAGACTGGGCTGCTAGAGGCCACATGAATCTCAGAGGCGAGGGACCGCTTTTGCTTTAGGAGGATATTCATTCCGCAAATTCAGCGAACACAAACCGAAACAGCGTGTCTGAAACATACCGTTTTCTGTTGACATCCACCTCTAGCTTCTGGGAGTCCTGCTGCAGTGCAGACAGCCTGTCTTTCAGCGTCGAGTTTTCACTGGTCAGCCTGTCCAGTTCCGCCCTGCAGAATAAACATGAGGGAATATGTGAGGAACCACAGGTTTTTAGTGCCAAATGCCAAGGAAGACTACGGCAGGATGTGTTGTGTGGCTTTCACATTTCTTTTCAACACTAAAAGTGTTTTTCATTACAAGAATTTGATAATTCTCTAATGATAAGGCCTCGATATCATGCATCGTGCTTTGAACCTGCAACAGACTTTAAGGTTCTACAGTGGAAAACGTTTTTCAGGCTTTTATCAGTTTGTAACAAAAGGGATAAAAACGCTCAAGTGGTCTATTAATTATACAACTTTGTGACTGTAGAAAGTGTGCACCCTCTTCAGCTTTTAAGTTGTTACAAGGTTCGCAGTTTTCCAGCTTTTGACGTAAAACAGAAATCTAGCTATTAACAAACAATCTTTTTAGCATGCTTTTTTTGTAAGAAAAAATAAAAGTCTGTTAGTACAGTGCAATAAAAAGTTAATACGGATTTCCAAAATGCTCATTGGTACATGTCTATGCTTGACAGCAAATTAGAAGTTAATGATTCAGTCATTTGCTTTTCATTTTATCCGTTAGTGGTATAAAAGTTACCTAAGAAGAAAAGGAAAATCACATACAGGATGCAGTCTCTGTTAGTTATTAATATGATCCAAGGGTGCATTTCAGCGCTGTAGATTAGTCATCCTTCAGCTATCAAAGGTCACAAACCTGTGTGTACCGTCTTCACCCATTACTGCCTCCAAGTCAGTTACCAGTTTTTCCATGTGAAAGAGCTGTTCCTTCAGTTTGTTCTTCTCCATCTCGAAATCTTGCTTTGCCTGACGTAGCTGCTCCTGTGCCTCCAATTCCGTCTGCTGCAACTTTATGACCAAGTCCTCCCTTTGCCTCCTCAGCTCAGACAGCTCATCTCCTCTGGGCACCAGCCCAGCGCACAACGGCTGGTTTCTGTCTGCTGGGTCTCTCGGGAGTTTGTCACCGATTTTTAGCAAGTCCTCCATCTTTCTGATTTTGGACATTAAATGGTCTTTTGCTCTGATCTCGGAGTCCAGTAGGACCTGCAGTTCATTGATCAGGCTGTCCTTCTGCTGTAACTGAAACAACAAGTCTTTAGTTTCTCCTGTTGGCAGTGACAATTCTCCATCTCTCACTAGCTGATTTGAAAGACTAGCCAGCTTTATGTAGACTGGTAGGAGACACCTGTTCTCTTCCATCTCTGAGTCCACACCTGTCACAACCTCAATAATTCCCTTGTCTTCCTGCTCCAAATGGTTCTGAAGGTTTTGTTTGCTCTTCTTCAGATCCTCTAAATCCTTATCTTGATCTTTATACTGGGCGTTCAACTGCTCATCAACAACACTTTGATTTTCCAGCTTCTCCACAAGTCCCCCTTTGTCCTCCTCTACAAACGTTAGTTTGTCTGTTGGCAGAAGTTCTTCTTCTGTGTTTTTCAAGAGATCCTGAGCATTTTGCAACTTTCTTTGCAGAAGAAGTAACTCATCTTCCTGGGACTTTAACTGTGTTTCCTGCTGGTGACACACTGAGGACTGATCACTGTAGTTCTCTTGAAACATCTTCTTTCCCTTCAGTTGAGATTCAGGTCCGGCCTGTAAGAAATTCCAATCATCCATTTGCTCCACGTGCATGTGGAGAAGCCCGCCTTCTCCCTTTGCCTCCACTTCCAGTTCCTCTTCCTGGAGTTCCACAGTGAGTTGTTGGATTTCAGTGATCCGTTTGTCGTTCCCACTTTCCAAAAGTGGCTGCTGCTCCCCGGATTCCCACCGAATCCTCTCCCGGTCATAGTGCTCCTTGAGGCTTTGACGTTGACTCTTTTCGTGGCACAGCTGGTGCACCAGTGTCCTCAGGCTTTCAGCATGCTGGGATTCCCTTTCGGACAACCTTTGCTCTATTTCCTCCGCTGCTTCTTCCCTACAGACAAACACTCACGTCTTACATGTTGACGATTATTAAAAGGGAAATATGAAACTAGGCTGCATGCAACACTCGGTGCTGAAATAGGTGGAACAAGAAACCATCCTTTTTTTCCCCCGAACGTACCCTACAGAGCTCCTTTTCTCATTTCTCATACGAAAAACGAAAAATATAAATCAAAATACTGAGATTTTTCAATTGATGTTCTATTCTATTCTATTTTATGTTATATTTCAGCTTCGTCAGATATAGCTGGATGCTTATATTAGGCACCAAATATTTTTAGGTTGACATGACTACAGTAATGCGTCACAGAAGACCGATATTTAGCGAAGTTCATTCCTACAGCCCAACAAACAGGAATTAAATGTGACACTTCTTTAAAGAGGATCCTCTCAGCAGCTGCGGGGGGGATTATTTTGCATTTTGTGTTACAGTATGTGATGCATTTCAGAGTGTCCGGACAAGAGTATGCTGTCATGATAGTGCGTACATGTGGGTGGGACACTGGTTAGCAGTGCTGCGGCCCTGGGTTCAATTCTGAATCTGTCCGTGTGGAGTCTGCAAGTTCTCCCCGCCTTCGCATGAGTTTCCTCCAGGTGCTCTAGTATCCTTCCACAGTAATACTATGTACTTCTTACTCAATAAAAAGTAATACTGGTAGGTTAATTGGCTTCTGAGAATATTGATTCCGGTGTGAATGTATACATGTCTGTGTCAGTGTCTGCCCTGCGCTGGACTGGCGTCCTGTCCAGGGTGTACCCTGCCCTGTGCCCGCTGCTTGCTAGGACTGGCTTCTGCTCCCCCATGGCCCTGAACTGGATGAAGCGCTTAGAAAACGGATGGACGGAAATGAATGATGTCAGATTTCTTACACAACCCTGGCAAAAACCAGTGAGACGGGTCCGTCAATCCCATGAAATGCGTCATCAGCGTTAAGCTTTGGGTGAGGAATCAAAACTGCAAGAAAACGGTGGCATGCAGTGAAAACCGGTCGGTGTAATTTGAACTCTCCGCGTGGGTCGATCTGCGTTCAGCAACACTAGGATCCAACATGCACCGGGGATCTGCGGTCCTGGATCTTCAGCTAAAGGTTTCATGCCTCGGGACACTCACTCCATGGGGAAGCTTTCTTGGTTTTTCTTAGCACAACGCCAGGATAAGGAGTCTGCCCATGTGTGCTGCTACAAGAAGGGAGAAAACAACAACCGCTAACCTCATCTGCTGCAGCTCTCGCTCTAGCTTCTGCGTGAGCTCCTCCTCCAGCTGCTCCTTCTCCGCCGTGAGGCTCTGGACCAGGTGGGAGATCTCCTTGGCGTAGCTCTGCTCCAGCTCGGCCCTCTCTCGGAGGAGCCTCTTGTCGTGCTCCGGCCCCCAGGAGGGCAGCGGGGCCCTGAGCCCCGCCATGGCCTCCTGCAGCCGCTCGCTCTTCTCCTCCAGCTGCCTCTTCTGCTCCTCCAGCTCGCTGATCTCCATCTTGAAGCCCTGCTCGATGTCCTTGCGCTCCACCTCCATGTTCCTCTTCATCAGCTCGATGCTCCGCTCGTAGAAGTTCACCTTCGGAAAGATGCAGACTCAGGCTTCTTTGTCGCAAATTCCTTTACAGAGGAGCTGCTGCATGAAGCCACTAGCTGTGTCCTACAGGGAGGATCCCTTTCTGCTTAATAACCTTCTAAGCCCCCTCAGAAGACACCAAGAATTTCTTAGCCGACAAGCACGAGCCACTACATGATTTTAACAGAAGCTTTGGAGTACCGATCATGTCTGCTGTTTCATGGCGACAGCATCGACTCGAGCCGCAGCGCATTCCCAGACCCGGGCTGTGTTTTCACCTTGGTCTCCAGCTGTATCTTCAGATCCTGCACCTCCTGCTGGTGCTTTTCCTTCAGCTGCTGCACTGCCAGCTCTGTCTCGATGCTCATGTTTTCTGGATCCTTCTCAGGAGAGATCGGACCTACAAGACACGTCCAATCCTAGGACAGTTAGCAAATGTACTTGGTCTGCGCTGCACATCAGCCATAACCGCCTGAAGTCATGCTCTGTTTCCAGACACAAAATAACACTGTACTGTGTAGCAGCACCCAGACTCCAGCAACACCGCCCAACAACCCTCCTGCCTCAAGAACAGCCCTCCTCTTTTGGACCGGGATCATCGCAAGAGGAGAATAGTACAGAAAAGTTGCACAACACAGAATTATTCCAGAGCAGTGGCTCCAAATCCTGGTTCCAGCTCTTTAAAGAGGTTGGAGCTTTAACCGTTGGATTTTGTAACCGTAATAAAATCCTAAACCTGTGAGTAGAAACTAAATGCAAATATTCAATTGAAGCAACTTCTCAGTTCAATTAAGGCTTCAATGATCCAATGAAGGGGGATGGGATAGAAACCAGTAGGTGTGTGAGAGTCACCCGGACCAGGAACTGGGAACCACTGCCCTAGAATGAGCTATCAAAGGTAAAACAAAGGCAGGGCTTTAGCTTTCACTGCTGTTAATGAGGGGTTCACCTGAGTCAGTGAGCGCTGCCCGGCCTGCAGCTCGGGGGTGGCTGGACCCGGTGTCCTGTCTGTGTCGTGACCTTCTGTCTGTCACCTGGCCCCGCAGGATCTCCAGCTCTGTGTGCAGCTCGTCATTCCTGTCCCGCAGCTCCTGTGTCGCACACGGCACAGACAGTGTCAGCGGAGCACAGACTGCACCGCCAGGCTCACATATCCTTTCGGCAGTGGTCACCAGCATGAAATTTCTTCCAAGGTCTTCCAGGTCAAATCACCTCAAAGGTCTGAAAGACAGATCCTAAGAGCCACTTCTGGGATGTGTTGGGGGCAGGAGTGTTCTGCATTTCTAATGTTCGATTACACAGTTTTGTCAAATATTCAGAGCATGGGAAAAATGTGCACTAGTAAGCACAGTGCTTGTGAGCTGAGTGGCTTGTCTCATCGGAATGGCAGAAAAAAGGCCTTGTGCCCTTAAGTGTAGAAAGCTGCAGCAGTTCTCTGTTCGCCATCGCATCAAAAAATGTTTAAAAAATGCAATGAAGAGCTTGAAGTGGCCAAGCATGAACTGAGGAACTTCTGCAGAGAGATTCCCTGCCTTTTCTTGACTGACCTTTGTGTGAACAAGCATTTTGCGTACTCAACAGTTTAGAGGAATCAGCTGAAAGAAATTACAGATTGTTGAAAAAATAATGAAAAAAAAGTTAAATCTCGCTGCAAAGTCCAAGGTGCTCACCTCCCCCAAAATGTTTACAGACTCCTTTTAAATGATCAGTTACAAATATGACTCAGCTACTGACAGTCCAAAAAACAAAAAAAGACAAATAAGACATTACACAATTGCACAACACCAATCTAACCTTTAAACTAAAATCCATAAACAGTTGAAAAACCTGGTTTTCTCAAAAGTGATTTTCTTCCAAACCAGAATGAAGGTTACGTCATAAAGAGGTTTTGAAAGTAGTGACAAACCTTCTAAAAACTCAATCCTTATCATTTCAGGAGACAAAAAAGCAAACAGAAATGTCTCAGTCTATAACATGCAGAACATTCAGTGACTTTTTCACATCTAATCTTTTGCTTCAATTTTACTCAAAACATTAGGGTTGACATATCAAATAAAGTGTAGCACATGACGCATGGCACAGAAAATCAAACTGCTCACCTTCACCTTCTAGACTCCCAAATAAAAGCAAGCATTAGAACAAAAGAGAGAGATATAAGGAGGATTGGACTTCCGACTGGTGAAGGTGGAAGAACTGTAATGATATGGGTGGGGTTTTGATGATTTATGGGTGTGATCTTTAACGATTAAAAGTGGCTTCAGTTTTTAATGCATTTCAACACACATAATGAGAAAAGAGAGAACTGCACTGCTCCTCCAACCAGCACTGACTCTCCTGTCAGACACCACAGAGGTCGCCCTGTGTCAAAAGATGACTGGCTCCGTCAGCAGAGCCCGTCAGAAGGGCAGGTCTGAAGATCCACTTGCTGCCTGTGCAGTACAGGTTCTTCCCAAGCCTGCGGGATCACTAGAGCCAGATCTTATCCTTCATGTAGAAGGAGGCAAAGTGAGAGGACAAGGCTCTCCATTGGTTGGGACGCTGGTCAACTGCAAGGTAACTCCATAACAATGCTGACGCCTGTTTACAGAGCTGAAGGAGCTGAATCAACTGTAGTTAACTGCCCTACTCAAGGACATAACAGATGTTCACGTTGGCATGAACAATCCTCCAGTAATGTGTCCAGAGCTCCCAGCTCCCCAGAACCCCGAGGGCTCCAGCTGTGTCCGCACACTCACCCGGCACTGCAGCTCGTACTCCTTTATTATCTCCGCGAAACGCTCCTCCTGACCCAGCAGGCCACAGCCCTGCGGATCCAGAGCTCCAAACTGCCAACCGATAAAAAAAAAAAAACGCTTTCAGTTGTCTAAAAACATATTGGACAGAAAAAACAAAATCATCTTAAGACTTTCTGTAAATGGATATCTAATTCACGATGACCATCAAGAACTTCAACTGCACAGCATTTAAAGTCTATATATATATGAAACAGCCGAGAGTAACATGAAAAACTGAGCATCCACATCAACACACTCAATAAACAAACATAAGTGGTGGTATTTTATGTTTACCTTCGACATGAGCAGATTGTCCAGGTCCTTCTGCAGTTTGGAAATGGTTTTCTCTGACTCCGAGAGTTTTTTCCTCAGTTCGTTCACCTCCTTCTCCAAGTGGCTGTTCTCCTGTTAGATAAATGGGGTAGGGAACACGTGTGGGTTAATCCAGATTACTCGTTACACCAGTGGTCAGTCTGTAATCTCTTTCAGAACGAAACATGGAAACAAACGTCCCTCTGAGCAAAACACAGCCTGTGCTGTACAGTAGCAAACACTGCCAGATAAAACTGGGCAAAAGACTGAAGCTGCAGTCACAGCCTCATAATCCCTGTTCCTAGTCTTATGACTTTATATCAGGGCATCGTGAATATTAAAGACAAAGTAAAACCCACCAGGCCTGTCTCAGCATTGTTGTGCCACACATACAAATTGCAGTACAGCCTCTATAATAGACATCATCAGCTGACAGCTGATTCGCCAGCTGATGCTGCAGTGTGCAGTCTGCCAGCGTGACCTCACCTCAGCAGCTGCAGTAACGTCTGCTCTCAGGCTGGTGTCCTCCGCCCGCAGAGTCGCCAGGTCTTCCTCCAGTTTAGCCTTCTGCTGGTTCGCCTGCTGCCAGAGCAGCTCGTTCTCTCTCTCCAGGTCACTCCTGATGGCAGACAGCTTGTCCCTGTAGTCCTGCTCAAGGTCTCTAGAATTCAGGGGAAACCACCGAACGATGGAGGGTCACTCTCTGCTGCCCCTTCTCCGTGGGCAGAAAGATTTCTCGTCGCTGAGGATCGCTCCAGGTTCATCTCCTGCACGGTGAGGAGAAACCCTGCTACAGCTACAGGCCTGCAGACACCATGTGGAACCTGAAACCAGCGCAGTCTCTTCAGCCAGAGCTCTGTGCCATGTATCCCCTGGTGGAACCAGTCTAGCAAGCAACCCGGGTGTGTTGCTTTAGTCCTGTTCCCGGGGAACCTGACGAGCGGGACAGGATGTCAGAAATGCCTGGCATGTTTAAGAAGGAGAAGGAACTCAGGTCTTACTTGATCTTGCTTTCGTTGAGAGACTCCATGGCAGCGTGCCGGTCGTCCACCTCCCTGACCAGCTGCAGGTTCCTCTTCTCGGCCCGCTCCAGGTCCGCCTTCAGCTTGTCTCTTTCCTTGCAGGCCTGCTCCGCCTGGACGCTGCGCCACAGACAGACACGACAGCAGGACAACTCCTCAGCCTCCTGCTCCCCCTGCAGCGCAGGAGCCATTTAAACAGCAAGAGCGCCGCTGCCGGTGACACTAAGGCCGGCGTGGCTTGAGCGCCACAGCGATGCTTTGGCAAAGCGTCAGGCCGTGGTGATTGAATCTGGGTATAAGTATATCGCCAACATACTTGCGAATCCACAGAAAGAAAATCAAAGTACAGCAGGGCGTACCTGTGCTCTTTTTTTAGCCGGAAATATGTGTTGAATACAAATATTAGCGGCTCTGAGCTAAGAGATTGGGGAAAAAAAGTCCAGTCCTGGCGAAGTGCTCTGTCTGTCACATGAACAGGCATCTTTGCCAGCTGAGGCTCTGGAGCAGCCAGAAACAGTTGGGAAGACTCCTTATAACGTCCCTCACTTGACACCAGATAAGACACAGAAATGAATCCCTACTGGTAGCAAACATCCTTTTATTATGGAAATCCTGGTTAAAGTAGGAGACTAGACATTCTTCTACTATGCACCTTAATCACTTTGGTGGAAAATGAATTGCTGTACATTTATGATGAGGGCTGCTGTATACCAATTGCAGTTTCGATTTCTTATTGCTTTTTTTCTTCTAATATAAAGCAAAAAATTATAACCTGCAAATGCCCATTATTAGGTAAAAACGGAACAAAAGGATGACTCTTACTGCAGGAACTGGATTTCACTTTTGTATGAGATGAGTGCAGCTTGATGGATTCCATTGGCGCTTGAGAGCAGCTCATTATCCAAAGCCAGGGTCAGCTCTGCCAGGCTGAGCTTCTCATCCAGAGGGAACTCCAGGATCTAGGGAGACGCGTGACGGGATTATTCCACTCATCCCACAGGGCTCAGGTGAAGGAGTGAGAGAGAATGGAACGGGGGGCAGTGAGCGCATGGACTATACAATCTCTAAGCACTTGCTGTGCTCGACAATAAATGTGATCGAGCCATTAACCTATCAAGCAAAAACTCATTTTCAAATAAAAAGGTTTTAGGTTGATAAAGACTACAAACTAAATAAAAAAAACTGCACGTGACAATTCCTTCTTCCCAGGTGAATCAGCTTCTTTCCTTTCAGCCCGAAAAGTGATTTGATGAAGCACAAGGGTAATGCAGCATTTCAAGTGTTAAACACCTCGGTCAGGCTCGCTCTACCACATAACAGATGATCATGTCTTGAATTATTAACTCTGAATCGGAACAGAATATTATTATTATTATTATGGCCCCTACATCTGCTTCAGTTCTATTTAATTTCCTTTCATAGATGAAATATTGACTGTGGAGTCTAAAAACAAATACATAAAAGTGTAAAGTGACGTCACTGGGCTCTATGAATACAATACCATTACAGCCACAGAATCTTTAATTCCTGAAGGACACATCCAGAGCTCAGCCCAGGGTGAACAGAACTGGTCTCGCTGGCACCGTCACAGAGCAGCCTGACCTAAACCAGCTTCCGTGGAGTTTGAGCCACACAGTTCCTGACAAACTGGCTGAGAGACTGTTGCCGCAGAGAGGGGAAAGAAGGGCTGACTGAATGACCAAGCAAGTTGGAAATGAAGGGCTTTAAGACACTGCAGCGCGGACTCTTCCGGGGGGATCCTGGGCTCTGGGCTGGGAACGTACCTGCAGGATGTCCTTGCCGTTCCTGATCCCCTCGCTGCTCCAGATGCCGATGACCTGCTCCGGACTCGCGCCCCCAGAGCCGTCGTCCAGGCAGGACAGTAAGCGGGGCCCCACGGTGGTGGAGAGGACAGAGGGGCGGGCCGACCTGCTGGCGCTGTCCTCGAGGGCCTGCCGGCGAGAGACGACACACCGCGCTGTCAGGAGTCCTCTCCCGCCACCCACAGGCAGCCCCAGGCTTTGCTTCCACGACTGACAGGCGTGTTACAAACCCATTAAGTGAGAGAATCATGCAATCTGGAGACGTTAAACAAAAAACTCTTCCAATTGGCAAAGAGTTAACCTGAATCTTAATATTCCGCCCTATAAATCAAGAGACCAGAGTCTGCACTATTTCCGTTATGTGTGTCGGCCTCCCTCGGGACCTCTGAAAAGGCCGCGCCCCGCTGCATTCGTCTGGCTGGCCGTGCGCAGAGTGATCGGGCAGCGCTGGTGCTCGTACAGAGAAGGGTGGGCTCAGACCTGGCTGAGGGACCCCCGCTGCTGGGGTTTGATGGGGGTTGAGGTGGTGGGAGCGGACAGGGGGGCGTGTCTGAAAAGCCCCTCCTGGAACTCCTTCAGGCTCACTCTGCCATCCCGGTCCTTGTCCAGCCTTGCAAACAGTGCATCCAGCTCCTGCAATGCAAAACGGTCCTTAATGCCTTATTCGCTTGGCACTCCAACAGGAATGTCTACAGATTGAGAGCTGCATTTTAAAAGCTTCTGATTAAAGTAAGTGGGGCTGGAACACTAAGCACTGCCATAAACTACAATAAATTGCTTATAAAACATTTCAAAATTCTTGTGTGATAACTCAAACCTAAATTTAAGACCAACATGCATTTTAATGCTAGATTTTACAAATCTGAATGTGCTAAACAGTTAAATTCCGCGAACAATATACTTCCTTCCCTTTATAAAAATCACCTTGGACGGCATTTTAAAATCAGGTACTGAAACCCACCAAGGAAGCAAAATTAACACAGACCGGAGCGAGAGAACAGCCACCAATTAACTCCTGACAGGAGAAAATTGCTTATTCCTACGCCAGAAACCTGAAGACATATTTTACTGAACATAAAATAAACTTACAGATTTCTGTAAGTTAAGAGTTCTTTGTGTTTTAGCTACAGGAAATACTCCTACCAGCCAGAATACTAGTAAACCCCACCCATTAGTGTGTGAGGCCTCAAACAGGGCAGATTCCAACGGTCTGCAAGAAAACCCAGCTCCAGGGATGGCTCTGGCCAGAGTCAGGACTAGGGTTAGATGCTTCTCAAGCCTCCTCATGTGACTAGGGGTTCCTAATATTTTGGCCAGGCAGAGGAGTAAAAGCGTAAACGGGGCAGAAATGGCCGAGGAAAGTCTTAGGCTGAGTGAGCTTGCGCTCATTTCCGACGCACAGAGATCAGCTGGAGTACCTCAGACTGCAGGCCGCTGAGGCCCATGCTGTCGCACACCAAGGACAGCTCCTGCCTGCTGAGGTAGCCACTGCCGCCCACCCCCAGCTCGTCCCAGATGGTCTTCATCTGCCCGTCCGTCACGTCCCGGGGGCCGGGGGTCTGTCTCAGGCTGCTGACAGCGTCCGGCTTCCACCTCCTGGACTGGCCTGAGCGCCATGGGACAGGCAGGAGAGAGGTGACAGCGTGCCGAACCCAGAACAATGCTCAATAGTGCACCTCAGCGTGGGGCAACAGGACAACCGGCCTCTGGTCTGAGTAGGGGAGGATTCAGGCAAGGTCAATTCTGCTCCATTGGACATGTCTGCCGAGACTGGAGTGCAGAAATAATTAAAGGGATCTATTAGGAGATCCTGAAGTTTGGAGACTATTCAGAGATCAATACAAGACGCTTGACGGAGGGGGTAGAATTTGTTTTCTCAAAAGCCCTTTGGAACAATCATCCATCCACAGATTTTCTAACTGCATCGTCCAATTCAGGGTTAATGGGGGAGCCGGTGCCTATCCCAGCAAGCAATGGGCACAAGGCAGGGTACACCCTGGACAGGACACCAGTCTGTCACAGGGCACACACACTCACATTTAGGGCCAATTTCCCAGAAGCCAATTAACCTACCAGCAAGTCTTGGAAACTGGAGCACCCAGAGGAAACCGCAGCAAACAAAGAGAACATACAAACTCCACACAGACAGCACCCCAGGAATTGAACCCAGGGCCCCAGCGCTGTGAGGCCCTTATGGAACAATGATAAACATTCAAATACATTCATATTGAAGAATCAGTACCTTGTGACTCAAATGTCTCATTATATGCTTCCTTATTGCTTGCTGTTTCTTCATCCGACTTCAGACTCTGAAAGGAAGAGGACTTAGGGTTAAACACCTGAGCTGTTTATTGAATTACTGTGTGGTTTACGCTGTCAAAAACATTCTTGTGTTGTTACCATGCTTGTTTAAACTGCAACAAAGCCACATGCTTTTCTTGCTGGAACACTGCATTGTTATGCAATAACTAAGAGAAAAAAACAAATACAAGCTTAAGCAAACAAAATCAAGAGGCCGGCTTACTGTACAGGGCAGTGCCAAAAAGAATTCCATTCTGTACATTCGCGTGTACTCCACTGAAACTCCCGGGTGGTGTCAAGTTCAGTCAATTCCAGCCCACTGGACAAAAAGATTTGGTTTTCTTTCGTTGCTCAAATGCGGTTCCTTTTTTTCTGCAGCTTGCAGGTCCCTGCCTTTCCTTCGGTGAGGTCTGTGGTCTAATCCACACATGTGGCCTTTGAATGGGCTCAGGTGTCTGCGACACCAGCCCGGCAGGTTTTCAAAGTGGCCTTTAATGTGCAAAGTGGAGAGGTCTGGATAGCATGTTGGCTCGTCCCAATCAAGCCACTGATTGATCCAATTGTCATTCAGTGCTCGGCTGGAATGAATACCAGAAGAGATTCTGAATCTTCAGGACCACAGCTGGAGATCCTTCAGTTAGCTAATGCTCCAGGGACTGCTGCCTTAGTCCTAATCCTGGGGAGCTGGTTACAGGTTTTCAGTCCTGCTGGGATCTCAACGGCCTGAATCTGCTATTGGCTTTATTGGATCTGTTTCACAGCTTCTCCCAGCTCTTCAAAGGTGCTTTAAAAGACCCTAAAAACCTGTAAAACACAGCAGGCTTACTGCTGCAGGGGTGGGGACACCTGCTGTGTGATTTATAGCTCTTAGGATTGAAAAGATTGTCCTGCTGTCACAATCTAATGGTTCTGAAAGCAAACCTAGTTTAGCACTATTAGTGCTCTTCACATTCAACACATAAAAATCCACTTTTCTTTTTCATTTTATTCTACTTTTTATGAAATATCTCCCTCTAGTGTTGAAGAAAATGTTCTTTTAACTTTGTTTTTTTATTCTTCCAATTCAATCAGGTGCTATTTTACATACAAAGCTCTGCTGCCAAACTGTCAAATGCACGGTCACTGAAACATACAATAAACGAGAAACAATTTCAATAATAATCTACAACCTTCTTCTCCAGGATTATAAATCTCAGTTTCATCCCTTCTTATTCCACTTTCATTATATTTTTGCATGTATTCGTTTTTATCCTTAAATGTCTGACAAATTGCTTTTCAAGAAGACCATCTGTGTGCTTTCTGACTCTCCACTCCATAACAATCCAGAACATCATCAAGACCCAGCTCTCTCGCGCTGTCTGAATGTGCTTGATTGAGCCTGTCCTGACGCAGGAATCAGGATCCTCCTTTGAAGTTATTCTATAAATTAAACATGCAGACATAAAAAGATAGCTTGCCCCTTATAGAAAGCCTGCCCTTATGTCTATAATATGAGGAATCCAAGATTACATTCTAGACAGATATTCTAAGTAAGCTTTACATTTCTAATGGTAAAGGGCTGGGTGTGGTCCTGCAATGGACTTGTGTCACCTCTCATGAGGACAGAGCTTGTGTGCTTGAGTCTCACCCTGGTCACTTGCTGCGACACACAAGAGTACAAGCCTTCTCGTAATACTGATTACAACGCTGAACTCCTTTTTCAATTCAATCTTTAAATGTCACAGATGCATGTGTACCAGGGACTAATCTGTGCAGCACGGATCAAAGAAAACATCAAAAACGGCACACAATTATGCAAACGCTAACTATCAAACAGCCTGATGCTTCACACTGGCTGAAACAGTGTTTTACCAATGCAAACAGGCCTGCAAGCTAAGACTCTGGAAAACATTAACTGTTGTGATATCTAGGGCTTTCTGCACCAATCCGGACTGCAAAGTTACATAATGCCATACAGATTAAAATGAAGAGAACGTAATCTCTAGAAACAGAGGCGTATTGAATGATGAAAAATATCTGTAAACACGCTCAGCAGCTTTCAGTTAGACGACATCTGCCCAGTTTTTGAGAGGTAAGCAGTATTATTACAATAACAGTGAATTCCAGAAATGTGCTGTTGATGCTTAGTAAGCAGAGTGTAACGAAATGCACACATTTCACTAAAAAAGTGCAAAGAAGATGAAAAGGCATGTTTGCAAGCCATTCAGCAGAAAAGGAACTCAGGAAACACACAAGAGAGTATACAAATTCAGACACCAGAATCCAAGGAAAAAACTGATTCTGGGGAGCCCATCAGATCATTAAATGCTTCCTAGATATACATGTTCCTCCAGCTTTTGACTCCTGCCCTCATCTATATACAGTCCACTTCAATTTTCTTAAAGTCATAGGTGCATTCAGCCTGGTTCCTATCTCCCCTCCTCAGCAGCACAGGGACTCAGGGATGCAAAAGAAATGTTAATTTAAAGCCATTCAAGAAATAAAACAGCAGACACTTATCTACACAAGGGATTGGGGGAGAGACCGAAACCAACGCCCCAGCCAAGTGGTTGAAGCCGACTCAGATATTTTAAGAGACTGACACTATTCTCAGAACATTACTCTACTAGCAACCAAATGAGTCAGATAGACTAAATCTGGTTTATAGCCTTCCTTACGTCCTGAGGAGAAGTACAGATTAACAACACTGCCCTGGTAGAGAGGGTTTTCAAAACCACACTTCTGCTCCATAGAAGGGCCGCTGGCATCTGGAGGACAGACATTCCTCCGGCGCGCAACGCGCCGCCCCGCGGGGCTGTCTGCCCTGCAGTAGGTGCCTTTCATCAGACGAGCCAGCTGAGTGAAGGAGCACAGCTGCCCAGACTTCGCTGAAACGCTGGGAATCATAACACGATCCAGAGCAATAAACTGGCAGCTCACCTCTAACTTGGCAAGACGCGTGGATCGGTGCAGGCTCAGGGAGCGCGGAGCGAAGCGGGAATGAGTCACGGGAGAAACGGCCCCCCCGTGCCCCCCCGGAGGCTCAAACACAAGGGGCTCTCTGATGTGCAGCCAGGAGCCGGCCGACAGGAGGCCGGGGACGGGTCTGGGCTGCCTCCCGCTTACCTCCACACTCTCCAGCGAGGCGGAGCGCCTCAGCTGCTCTGCCCGGGCGCCCCAGGAGAAGGGCTCTGCCCTGGCTGCCCTGGGGCCGGGGGTCTCGGGGTCCTCGGCGATCTCCACTTCCGAACCGCGGGCCTCGGGCCGAGACCGCCTTCCATACCTCTTCGTCCCCTTCACGTACTTGGGCTTGACCTCCTCTGCGAGTACTGGGAAGGGCGCAAGGGAAAAGCCTCAGAAGTCTGGTGCTGCTGGCGGAGACCCTGCAGCGGTTATTCCTTCCTTCCTGGATTCTGAAGTATGTCGGGACTCGAAACCTTAACCCTTTACTTTCATTCCTCCGTGCGCAGACCTCACCAAGAGATGAAACACGGAGACCATCAGAACAGAACCGGGAGGACTGGGTGTTGTTGTTTTTTTTAAATCTTAACTGACAACTGGAGCTGGCAGATTTCCACAAATTAACTGAAAATCTGCAGCGTTTCCATCTTTGTATTAAAATGATCAACGAGATGACAGTAAGGAGACAAAGGATTCAGGAGTTTCCATCTAAATAAAAAAATATATTGTGAACAACAGCTGTGCTCACCTAATGCCCTTAACAACACAAGATCACACATGGCAACAGTAACCTGCAGGTCTAGACTAAGCTTTGTATCTTTACACTCAGGGAGAAGTGTGCTTCTTAGTTTTGCATAGTTCATAGTGACATTTTTCCTAAAATACACAGAGAGCGTCTTATAACCTGATAATCCACTGGGGATTTCTTGTGTATGGTATGTGAAAGATACCTCTATGCAGAGCTTTCCTTCAAAGGACAGTGCTCGAGTAACATTGTGAGTAAAGGAAACAGAAATGCGAGTCAGATTATCAGAGGCATCTGGTGCAAAGTCTCTCCTATTATGTACAGATTTCTGCTCACAAGTTATTTCTGAAAAGGCAGCCTGTGATTCCAGTGGAATTATGCTATAGACAGGGGAAACTCAATAGATCTCCCACATTCCAGAGACTTAAACCCTTCCATATGGTGCTGGATAAAAATCAACATTAAATAACTTGTGCTATTTCATTCTTCTTACATTGCGTAAAATAACCACTATTTATGTTGCCCAGGTCATGCCACTATTTCCATTTCTTTTACTCTAAATAAGCAACTGTTGTATGGTTACTCCTTTCCGCTATAGAAATAACATCTTGTATTCATTTGTCTTGTACCATGTGATGAGGTTATTAGCTAAATACAAGTAGCAGCAATTACCCAAATTCCATCCATCTATTTTTTTAACCGCTTCTTCCAAATCAGGGTTGTGGGGGGAGCCGGAGCCTGTCCCAGCAAGCAACAGGCACGAGGCAGGATACACCCCGGACAGGACACCAGTCCATCGCAGGGCACGCACAGACACAGAATCGCACACATTCACACCAGGGCCAGTTTCCCCAGAAGACAATTAACCTACCAGTATGTTTCGGACAGTGGGAGGAAACAGTAGAACCCGTAAGAAACCCAGTAAACCCACGCAAATGTGGGAAGAACATACAAACTCCACACAGACAGCACCCCAGTTCCAGAATTAAACCCAATTCCAGGACCTCAGCCATGCAAGGCAGGGGCGCTTACCACTCTGTCACCATGCCGCCCTAAACCAAACACCACTGGGTTTAACTTGAGCTCCTACACGTCCTCACAGTGAATCGCAGGAAGTATGCCTTCTACGAGAAGCACATGTCTGAAAGCATTGGCCGGGCCTACTTACAAGACTCAGCATATCCACTGGAAGAAGTGGTTAGAAAATGGATGGATGGTATTTGGCTCACTGCTGCTACTTGTATTCAGCTAATAACGTCATCACGTGGTAAAAGATGATATAATAAATGTTAAAACCCAAAAGAATTCAATGCATTGTGCAACAAATAGACTTTTCTCTCCTCTCCTATATTTTCACCAAATAAGACTTTAAGTCAATTTTTAGGAGAAGACAATGAATACTTTTTACACAACCAATCTCCAGTAATTTTAGCATACCAAGGACACATTATCTGAACTGTGCACCTGATGGCTTAAACTATCGAGTCTGGGAACTAACCAAGGTATTTCTACAAAAACCTGAATGGGCTGCACACAGAGAGCCCCTGCTTACCTGGCTCGAGATAGCTGCTCTCTTCCTCAGAGGTGCTGAGCTCCAGGGAGTGCGAAAGAACCGCTACGAAGCCTTCTTTGAACTCCTCGAAGTTCACCTGCCACAGACAGTTTTAAAAGCACTTCCAGGGGGTGGGGACACTAATGACACAGCCCAGCCACCAGAGCACCGACTGGATCTCATACAGGTTTGCTCCAGGTCTGGAATCTTTATACAGGCTTATGGTCGCATTCAATCCGTTAATCTTAATCACTTCATCCAATACAGGGCTGTGGGGGAGCCAGAGGCTCTCCCAGCAAGCAATGGGCACAAGGCAGGACACACCCTGGGTGGAACGCCAGCCCATCAGAGGGCACACGCAGACACAGACACAAACATAAACACACACACAAATTAACATGCACGCACACACACAAATTAACAAGCCAATTAAACTACCGGTATGTCTTTGGAATGAGAGAAGAAACCAGATCACCCAGAGGAAATCCATGTGATCATGAGGAGAACATGCAAGTCCCACACCCATAGCGCCACAGATCCAGGATTCTACTCATTCTATCCCAGTGCCGCTAACCACTGTGCCAGCATGCTGTGCTACATTCAATAACAACTTTTAAAACCCTTTAGTGGACATTTAAAGCTTTGAATTTCTCCCTGGCTCACAGTAACTACAATGCTGCTGAATGCCTTAAAGTCTACAACCTTAAAAAGACCCTTCCCTCTGTCCACTCGCTCTCCTGACTCTGGGGCCTTCTGTCACTAGAGGTCTTCTCCCTCTCAACTAGGGTTTGAGCAAACTACTGAAGCAATATTTTTAGCGATTGTACAATGGAACCCAAACACACGCGCGCGCAGCACGGTGCCTTGAGCGCTTTTCACCAGGCTGGTGCAGCTGGGGAGAGCGAAGTCTACACACCCGCGCGTAGTGCCCGGGGCCCAGGAGCGTGCTCAGGATCACCGGCAGGTGAGGCTCCAGGTGCAGCTTGTGGCACAGCTCCGAGAGCTCCTCCTTGTCCAGGTAGCCCGTGCCCGTGGTGTCGCAGCTGTCAAACACCTCCCTGAGCTGCGAGACGTAGTGATTCTGCTCCTCCTCGTCCATCCCGCCGCATGCTGCAGCCGCCTGCGGAGGGGGGGAGGCAGGCTCGGTGACACAGCCGTCCGCCTGCCGCTCCGGCGGAGACTCACTCACTCACTCACAGCCCCGCGCCGCCAGGGAAGAGAGGCTCCAAATCAAACAGCGCACACCTGCAGGCTTGTTTCTGCAGATGCCTCATGAAGCGCTGGAGAAATACCAAACCGGAGAACACACACCAGACTGTTATGCCCTGCTTCAAAATAACAGACTGGAAAATTTTACATGGCGAAAGTAATTTATTTATTTTTGACTCCTACAATACAACTTCCACACCAGTCTAGGGGGAAAAAAACCCTCCAACACAGCAAAATGGTTTTTCATAATTTCATAAATTTAACCCGACCGCCTGTCTCACAATAAATTCCAGCGCTTGTTCTGAGCTCCCAGCTGCAGTTCTATAACCCCCAGATCTGCTGCAGAAGTCGAGGGCTGAGGAAGCAGACGCACAGAAGCTCGGCGTGGCACCTCACCCACTGCTCTCTGCACAGATTCCAACCTAATCGCAGTCTTCACAAGACTTAAGCAGATGGCCCACAACAATTTACACATGATGGATTCAACCTGGGGAGGCATGGGGGCACAGAGGTCAGCATGGCCAGGGTCCTGGGTTCAGTTCTGGGCCTGGGGTGCTGTCTGCATGGATTCTCTCCCCGAGTTCACCTAGGTTTCCCTCGGGTGCTGGTGGGTTAACTGGCTTCTGGGAAAACTGGCCCTGGTGTGAGTGTGTGTGTTACTGTGCGTCTGCCCTGCGATGGACTGGCGCCCGGCGACAGCGAAGAACTGAAAGTCAATCACGTTGCCGATATTTTGTTGTTTCTTTTCACAGATTTACAGCACAAATGAATCGACCAAAACAACAGGGGTGGACGTCCATTGCAGGGCATGCTCGCAAGTCAGAGGCACCAATTAACCCCAGAGGCATGCCTTTGGGGGGCTGGAAACCACATGCTCTGGTAAACACCCACCTGAACACAGGGGAACATGCAAACTCCACCCAGACGACACCTCGGTCTAGAATTGATTCCAGGACCCAGGAGCTGACAGCCAGCAGCTCTCACCTCTATGTCTCTGTGTCATCCTAATTAAAAGGGACAAGTTACTTAAAAAAAACATTTTAAATGATCACAGCAAAAAAAGGATGAGCTAAGGAGAACTTCTTAGTTGAACAGCTGTACCTAAGCAAAGTTACGACGTGGCAAATGCAATGTTAAGATAAACAATGATGTGACAGTAACCACCCGCGCCCTGTCCTTAAACAGACGGTCCAAATGAGAAAACCGACAGTACTGTGTACCGAAACTACACAGCAAACACAAAAGAGCACAAGCTTCCCTCTATCAACACAACTACTAGATTGTATACAAATCATCTTAGGCATAACTTTAAAAAAAACATGTACAGGCTTGCAGCTTGGTATTAAAAAAAACTCTCTTAAAAAACGAAAGTCTGCAAACATATAAAAGACGAGCTTCCAGCAGAACAAAACCACATTCATGAAGGCATGTAGACGGAGCATAAGAAAGGGAGGTCATTGCCTCAAAGATGTGGAATCATGGATGTGATTATAGACCGAGGTGCTTCTGTGAGGAGCCTGCATGTTCTGTCCACGGTGGTGTGGATATTTTGACTGGGTGCTCATTGGAGACCTTAACAGCACAACCCCTCTAAGAATTCTTTTGATTTACTGCAAAACAGCCTCAGCCGTACTGTCCAGTACTACACGTGCAAGCCACTTATTCCAAAGAATGAGTTAACCCGTCCCCAGCTCCACACAGAGCAATCGAGCCGAAGTCAAGTCGTGCACAACACACCCGCGGGAAAAAACACACTGTCGGGTCCTGTCCTACACGCAAGCTTCCGCTTCGTCCCTGGTGCAGGTTCTGTTCCCATCCCATGCGGTCAGTACCGAACCAGCACTGACAGGAGCGAGCGAACAACACGTTACACACAGAGCAAAGCGCAGTTCTGTTTCCGAACCTGAACACCAGACCCCCTCACCTGGCACCGTGCATTCCGCTGGCTTATCAACAAAAAAAGGGATGTCCTGATCTAACAGGTAAATGAGCGTCATGTACAGTAAACTGGGTTCTTCCCACACGTGGGCTTTGAACATGCAAACCCATTTATTCAGGCGCCCTACAATCACGCAACCCGCCCGCCGTGGCACGTATCCAAAGGATGCAAGATGCTGTTGCAAGAGCAGTGTGGATATCGAGATTTAAAATACGAGTCGGATTATACATTACACAGAGCAGTCACACAAGACGCACTGAACCACCAGGACTGCGATGCGTTACATAATTTGCATTAATCTGAAAGTACAGAAAAGCAGCGGACGGGAACGGCTCGCATACCAGAGGCTTGAGCAGGGTCAAGCACAGAAGAGGATTAAGTCCCCGGAGACAACGTGATAAGGCGGTATGGCTTCCTTCAGGAAAGAGCACACTTCACCTCTGTAACACCTCAATGTCACAACACTCATCACAGCTGCGACATTCAACGCATCTGTTTTCTCCTGCCGGTTTGTGTGCTGTTTTCTAGACACACAGCACTCCAGCACTTCGCTTGAGCACACACGAACAAGCGTGAGCCAGCACACAGTACGCTTCACCATGGGAACGCAGCCCTGCAGCAAGCCCGGCTCACAAAAAAAGACCCGAGCCAGCGAAAACCTCACAAGAAACAAACTTTACCGAGACCCTGCTGCACTTTTTGTGCGAGGGAAACGGGTAGCAGTTTGCGAAGAAGCGTTTATACGGTATTTAAAAATCTGATGCATGTATGTGGAGGGGGAACAAGATGAAAAACGACACTTACAGTGTGCTATTGCATCTCACCGTTCAGTTCTCCTCCCACCAGCGCTCCCAGTAAACTTCACAGGGTCCGGGTGCACAGATACTTCGGTCCCATCACTGTTCGCCGGCTGGGGTCATTGCAAAATCCCGGGGGGGTCTCGCAGCCCCGCGTCTCGTCCGCTCGACTTGACCGAAACGATGCCGCGTCCGGCCGGAGCCGCTACCTCTCCTGCAGTAGCGCCGCAGTCCGCCCGGCGCGCCCCCGCGCACTGGCTGCTCGGCCCGGGCAGGCGCGGTGAAGGCGAGGCGGCCTGCCTGCCAGCCCGGGGCCACCTCGGGCAGGAGAGGCCGCCCCTGCTGGCCAGGCGGGGGAGTGCAGGCGGCGGGAGGGGGCTGCTATAAACCCCCTGACCTGCTAGCCGGGGAGAAAAATGCAAAGGATTAAAAGACGAATTTATCCCCCCCCCCACACACACACACACCTCCCCCTGCTGGTAGAGATACGCCTTCCTTATGGAGTCATACGGTTCAATTGAATATAATCGCCTTTTTTTTCTGTAGGTTAATCATTGCGAAAGTTGTGATCTTTGACGTTAAGTGTGAACTCTGGGATCCTAAAAGGGCAAAAAAAAAGAAGGTTCCTTAGCAGAAAACGTGAAAATTGATTCCTCTACTGACGGTTCTTTCCATGCCCAATCGCATATTTAGTTTTCTAAATGTGGACACTCTATTCAAATTCAACGACTACGTGCTGGACGTCTAATTGTAGAATTGCTCTATGTTCTGGTTTTCTTTATGAAACTGAGTGCCGTTTTTTTTTGTCTCGTAACCACCGTTCACCAACCAGATTCAACGCAGATTTATCGCTATAATCTGGTAAATTTGCGCTCACTGGTGAGTAGTCTGGCGATATCACAGTGCGTGGCGTGTTACACTGGGCTCGTTGATTGTAAACCTGGTGCGCTGCGTGTATTTCATCTTGGGGGTCGATAATTTGGACAGAATCCGGTGACATTACCGCCTGTGTTCACGGTAGTACTGTGTTCCAGCTCAGAACTGTGTTCTGTTTGTATATCCAATGTGAGAAGAGATGTGTGTGTGCTGAGGGCACTAGGACCCTGAACCTCAAGGGCTGCTTTATACAGTGTCTATGAGAGAGTGCTATGAGGGTTTGTCCGCGGAAGACCTCTCTGGAACTCTAGTTTGGAGGGAGTTTGTTATACCCTTTGCCCCTCGAGTGAAAACGGTCACACAAGTCCACGTCACAGGACCTTGTCAGGGAGCACAAATATGGGGCCCTTGCAATGGGCTGGAGGGGTCTGTGGGCTGCAGAGTCACGTGTCTTAAGCTGTGTCCCTTACGGCAACAAAGCTGTTGCTGTGCTTGTGAGACTGAGCCAGTCTGATGTGCGTGACCTCCGGTCTCTGTTTTGAAAAGAGAAACCGTAAAAAGTGTCGCGTTTGGTGTCAGCAGTGGGATGACGAGATGACACTGAGTTCTAGAGGAGCGAAACTCCGACAGGAGCAGCCAGTGATGGCAGGAAGGGAGGTGAGACGTAAACAGAGCGACGAGGGCAGACGGTTCGTCCACTACTGCCCCGGCCTGGACCTGCAGGCGAGAATGTTCCATCACCAGGCTGGAGATTCAAACTGAAATCTAGACAAGGTACTTTTCGAATGGCTAAACCAGTAAAGATGTTCACCTGGGTGCAGGCTAAACTCTTTGACCAAGGTTCGAGCCTGGGTCAATTCACTTCACTTCACTTCAACCGCTCCAAGGTTCCCAAAGCAGTGGCACACGACTGGGGGACCACTGCCAAGGGTAGGGTGGGATTATTCAGCCAGGGGTCTCTTGGCTCTCGGTGACACGTGACTTCTATGAAACCCTCCTGGGCACTCATGAGACGCAGTGCTGACGGTGAGGGACACCGCTTGTGTGTAATTTAAGACGAGGAACAGGCAGGTTGGCGGAGTCTGCCAACACTTTCTCATTCCGCCCGGTGTGCATTCGCAGGGCGAGTAGCTCCTAGTCAAACAGTGAAAAACAACAACAAAAACTGACGATTTTATTAAAATAATTTAAAATGGCAAATAATCAATTCAGTATTCTTTAGCAAATATTTCTTCATAATGAAACAAACCTAAAAATAATGCATATAAAATTATTTTTAAAATAATATATATATATAGAAGGTGGCATGGTGTAGCAGTGTTCAGCATTGCCGCCTCGCGGTGCTGGAGTCCTGGGTTCAATTCCTGGGGTGCTGTCTGTGTGGAGTTCGCATGTTCTCCCAGTGATTGTATGGGTTCCTTCTTGGTACTCCTTTGTCCTTCCACAGTCCAAAAACATACTGGCAGGTTAATTGGCTTCTGGGAAGGTTGACCCTGGTCGGAGAGTGTGTGTGTCTGTTTGTCCTGCACTGGGCTGGTGGCCCATGCAGGGTATATCATGCCTTGTGCCTGTTCTTGTCAGGATAGGCTCTGGGCTCCCCTGTAATGTGGAAGAAGCAGTTAGAAAATTGATGGATTTTTAGTATAAACAAATAAATATGAACCAGAAGTTTAAAATGTTAGATACCTATCAAGTACAATTATAAATGATTGGTAATCGAACACCACATTGTGTTAATCAGATGTTTATGGAGTAATTTCACAAATCATCACTCGGTAATCACAGAGATCAGCAGAATGCCGGAGGAGATATGAACTCACCTAAAGGAAACCTGCTGCAAGAGAAGACCAATGAGACATTTACAGTGTATCAGTTTTAGGTGTGTCTGCAATTCGAGCTCTTTGTAGGAAGGAAGAACCTGGACCACACATCAGAGCTGTGAAATAATATCTGAGGCGGATTTAAAATTCACAAATGGTCAATCGACACCAAAACAAAATCAGACTGTGAGCCTCCACAAAACACAAAGCACAGTGCATCTGATGAAGAGAAGGAAAATATCTGTTTATACCTTGCATTCACACACTCTAAATGTTTGGATGTTCACATCATCCAATGCCAATGGGAAATTAAGACAAATCTAAAGGCATCACAAATAAAAACGAACTGACCCTACACCGTTCTTTACTGTCTAGAAAACGATTCTGGTGTGAAACCTCACTTTTTCTTAATGGCAGTGATCCAGAGCATATTACTGTAAACGTAAAGACTTTACTAACAAAAGACTTGCTGGGGTATTTTCCTCAATTGTAACTCTTAAATATTTTGCAGCCTATAACACATCTTGTGTTTGTAACGTTTTTAACTGAACTGTCAAATAAAGTCCTTCATCTGATGACAGTGTTATTGTTTTAATTCACTGCGATCATAAAAGCAATAACCATCAGGAGTCTTATATTTGAGTAGTAAAAATGATGTAATTCATTATCACTTCAGTAATGTTTGTATTTAGCAGAAGAGTGGATTTTTTCCTGTATTTGAAAGCAGAGGTAGTTTTAATGTATGATAGTTGTAAGATTATATACATGCTATGATAGTATAAGTTAAATCAGTGTTTCCCGCCTCTCAACCCTGGAAGTCTGCTGTGTCTGCTGGTTTGTATTCTACCTCGTCTCTCAGTCTCCCATACTAATTGATTACTTTAATTGATCTGCTTGCTTGTTTAGACTTTTGGTAAACTTGTTTCTACCCTCAGGCCCGGGTTTCAAAACTCACCCCTCCTCAGGATCCCAGCAGCTTCATCATACTCAACTTTAAGCAGCTTTGTCTCAGCTTGCTCAACCTTAATTCTGATTTAACAGCTTTTAATAGTCGATTACATTCTGTTGAACAGACACAGACGGTTATGACAATGTATGAAACTCTCCCACAATGAGTTTTTTTTCTTCTCCAGAGATTTGGTTTGTTGGATTTCAAGTAACAGAGCTTAATTAGAAAAGTTCTGAAAAGCAGAGATTGGTACGAGGCTGAAACCGACGATATATCCCATTTGACCCTGTAAGAGCTGAAAGAATATGCCTGAATAGATAACTGGAATCAATTAGTCTGCGATTAGGAACAGCTAATCCCAGAGTAAATGAGAGTTTTTGCCCCACGGCTGGAGCAAAAACCTGAAGGTAAGTTGACCCCTCTAGGATCAAGGTGTGGAACCCACCTAAATCTCCTTCTGTTGCGTCTCAAAATCCTCGAAAATGCTGAGCAATATCTTGACAAGTAGATCACTTTAGAGAGCTGAGATTTGCTATACGGACTTGTGCAACTACATGATCTATGATAAGCACAAGCACAAGAAAGTGGCGCGGGTGTGTGATTTCAATGCTGCAGTGTGCTGTCTTGTGAGAAGGGGTGTGTGCGCTCCAACGGAGGGCCCTTGCGCGCGTTTTTCCCACTCGGCGACCCGTAGTGACGTAGTGCGCGATAAACTTGCAGAAGTCGCTTCCATAGTCCGGTTCGATACGGGTTGCGTCCGCCGAACCGAACGGAGCAGGCTCGGGGATTGTAGCAGGCTGGGAAAAGCCACTTCGAGGCGAAGGGCGAAGTCTTGTCGGCTGAGGGGATCAGCAGAGAAGACGGGGAGGCTGCGAGTGACTGGAGGTAGGGGAGACGCAGCCTTGCCCGTCGGCGGGTGGTGTTGGCTGTAGGCCTTGCCGCGCCTCCGAGCTCGAGTGAAAGCGCTGCCGGCCGGGCGGAGAGCCGCGGGCGTGTAGGGGGGGACGGCGGTGACGTGGACCGCGTTAGAAGCGCAGTCCAGTTGCCCCCCCCTACTCCATCTTATCCTGTCCGGCCGTGATTCTTTATTATATTCATTTGAGCTGACTCATTTAGCTGGGGTTGGTCTGATGTCATGGCAGGAAAATGAGCCACACGCAAGGGATACAGCGGGCGGGGAGAAAAAGAACTGTTGGTAACTGTCACAAAGAATAAAACGAGATTGTTTTACAACTGCGTTACCCAGCTTGGTGTACGGTTTTTCTTCGAAATCCGTGCAGATGTTTCCCTCTCGGTAGCTCCAGTTGCTTGTCGGCGCTGAAGCCGGTAGCGGCATCTCAGATTATTTTTCAGCAGCATTGGATCAGCTCCCGGGTCAACTGTAACACCTCTCGGACGGAGCACATCAGTGTCGTTACTGATCTTTGCTGGGTGTCGTGACAGATTATACATGTACACCATTCATTCATGTAGCTGTTTTTTTTTTTTTTTAAAAGCTACGCTTTCGGTTTCTATCTCATGCAACTCTTTGAACTAGAAGACGGTTTCTAGTTTATAAGTGGCGGAGTGCCGATTAAATTAAAAAACGAGGGATGTGTCTGAGTGAAGGGGTTGGGTTTGGCACAGGGTGATGACACATGACATTTTAAGTGAGTTTCTGATGACTTTTCGAGCTGTCTCTTTACAGAAAACAGCTTGGAAACGGGGCT